CCAGGAACTTTCCCATGATTTCCTCTAGGAATTTTCTAATTTCTGTTCTTATGGCCAAAATCCACTTCAAGTTAATTTTTATATATAGGAATCCCATTTGCATGTGGATATCTAGTTTTCCCAGCACCATGTATTAAAGACACTATCCTTTCCCTGTTGTGTTTTCTCGACACCCTCATGCTTCTAAGCAGCTCAGATGTCTAAGGATTCATTTATTTCTTGTTCCCACCAACTTTAACCTTCTTCCAGGGCAGGACCAGGCCTTATTTGTCCTTGTATCCATCTTCCACAATACTAGATCAGTGACCCATCACACAGAGCCTCAGAAGAGAAGCAAGTGATGAGATACAGAATATTAGCTTCTTTGTACTCCAAGGGAAGCACTTTATGGAAACTAAAAACAAAAATCATCAGTTACAAATCAATTTAATCAGGTTTTAGGTACTCCTTGGCTGACCTGAATTATACTGTCCTTATGCCCTCTCTACATTCCCTGTAAATTCCCACAACAGAGCAACAAAAGCTCTAAAAGCAGTTTATATAGCAAAAGAGACCCTCATCCTGTAAGATTAAAGGAGGGCTGGAAACAGCCCCCACTTTTTTTCTGTGGTGCCAGGCATCAAACCTTTTAGGGCCTGGAGGGTGCTAGGCAAACCCCCTACCCCTGAGCTACGTTCCCTATCATTTTTAAAATTTTGATTCAGGGTCTTAGGTTGTCCAACCTGACCTTAAACTTGCCATCCTCCTGCCTCAGCCTCTCTAGTAGCTAGGATTACAGGCATGTGCTACTGCACCCACTTGGGCTGGAAAATTTATTGAAAGAACAAATTTTGTATAAATGTGTTTTCTTCTCCTCCTCCCTTCCTTCCCCAGAGGCTTCAGCAACACCTGTGATCCCCAGGACAAACCAGTGCCACTGGAAAAACATTCGGGCTTCTTCATCTCCCTGAGTACATAGCCCCATGGGAAGGCTGACAGCAAAATGCCACGTTGATTGGTGCCAGGGTTCAGAAGCCAGCAAGTGCATGAGCAGTGCTGGAAACAGGGACCTGCTTTCATGCAAGGTCTTGCTTGGCACACAGGAGGCAAGACATGCTCCTGCTGAGAGGGAAGGAAAGAGGAATCACCTCTGACTGCAGGGATATCTAGCAGTCACAGGAAGCCATGAAGTTTGAGACTTTTTATTGCTAATGATTGAAATCTCTGTTCTTTATTAATTTAAGAACAGTGAAAATACAAATGACTGTGGTCTAAGACCTTTAAGGGTGTGTGTGTGTGTGTATGTGTGTACACATGCATTCTTGTGTGTGTACATGCATGTGCACCCTCCTAGCCTCCAGTAATGGGTCACATCTATATGGACTTAAGACTCATTTTGGGTGATGGTGACTTAAGAATGTCCACATTGTCAGGTCAGTGTGACCTGGAACTTGAATCCAACTCAGTGGACGCAGAGGCTTTGCTTACGCTTGTTGGACTACAATCAGTAACAGTTCATAAAGCTCAACTTTAAGAATACAACTTTGGGAAAGCTAATATAAATAGCCCCAAATTATTAATTTATATTCAAGGCTATTTACTAACCATTTAGCCTACTAACATGTTATCCGATATCTGCCAACTGTCTAGTTACCTTTACCAGATGGAGTCCCCAGCTAAAAATTTTTAACTAGAATAAGTTATTTTTTAAAAATAAAATAAAATTTTTTTAAATAGAATAAGCTCCCCAAAGGGTCAGGGGGACCTCAGGTAAGGAGCTGAACAGAGGGGAGACTGAATACCTAAAATTTCTGGTATTGAGCATTTTGAAAGCATTTTGGTAGGTGAGCCCTTAAATGAGGATTTGGACCAGATTGCACTTAATAAATTATAGAATTTGATTAAGAGGCTTAATTTGATTTATCAAATGATGACTAATTTCAAATCTGGAATTTGATCAAATCAGTTAACAAATGGGATACTAACAAAACTATTCAAGAGTAAAACTGTTAACAGGGCTTAGTCATTGGAAAGGGGGTACTCTTATTCCACCTAAATGGCTAAATAATTTAAAAAAGTTATTAGTGGGATGGGGTTATAGTTCAGTAGTTTTTTTTTTATTGGTTGCGCAAAACATTACAATGCTCTTGACATATCATATTTCATACATTTGATTCAAGTGGGTTATGAACTCCCATTTTTACCACGTGTATAGATTGCAGGATCACATTAGTTACACATTTTTTTAATTTGTTTTTTCTAGATATACATGACAGTAGAGTATATTTTGACATATAATACATGCACAGAATATGTATAACTTCTTCCAGGTGGGAATCCCATTATTGTGGTTGTATATGATGTGGAGTTACACTGGTCACATATTCATATATAAGGATAAAAAATATATATCCAATTCATTCTACTGAATGGAGGCAAGACATGCTCCTGCTGAGAGGGAAGGAAAGAGGAATCACCTCCAACTGCAGGGATATCTAGCAGTCACAGGAAAGGAAGACATGAAGTTTGAGACTTTTTATTGCTGATGATTGAAATCTGTTCTTTTCTAATTTAAGAACATTATTTAAGAACACTATTCCTATTCCTCACTCCCTTCCCTTCATTTCCCTTTTTCCAGTGAACTTCTAATCTTTCCCTCTCTTGTTGTGGGTTAGAAACCACATATCAAAAAACATTCTGCCTTTGGTTTGGGGGGACTGGCTTATTTCACTTAGCATGATAGTCTACAGTCCCATCCATTTACTGGCAAATGTCATTATTTCATTCTTCTTTATGGCTGAGTAATATTCCTTTGTGAGGGCACATAGGTTGGTTCCATAGTTTAGCTATGTGAATTGAGCTGCTATAAACATGAAGTGGCTGTGCCATTGTAGTATGCTGATTTTAAGTCCTTTGGGAAAAAACTGAGGAGTGGGATAACTAGGTCAATGGTGGTTCCATTCCAAGTTTTCTGAGGAATCTCCATACTGCTTTCCAGAGTGGTTGTACCAATTTGCAGTCCCACCAGCAATCTATGAGTCAAGATTTTCCCCCACATCCTCACAAACATTTTTACTTGTATTCTTGATAATGCCATTCTGACTAGGGTGAGATAGAAGATCAGTGTAGTTTTGATTTGCATTTCTCCAATTGCTAGAGATGTTGAACAATTTTTTTCATATTTGTTGACCATTCATATTTCTTTTGTGAAGTGCCAGTTCCTTAGCCCATTTATTGATTGGATTATTTGGTTTTTTTTTTGGTGTTAAGTTTGAGTTCTTTGTCTATCCTGGAGAATAATGCTCTGAGTAGCTGGTGGTAAAGATTTTCTCCCATTCTGTAGGCTCTCTGTTCACATTTTTTTTTTAAAGAGAGAGAGAGAGAGAGAGAGAGAATTTTTTAATATTTATTTTCTAGTTTCCGCGGACACAACATCTTTGTTTGTATGTGGTGCTGAGGATCGAACCCAGGCCGCACGCATGCCAGGCGAGCACACTACCGCTTGAGCCACATCCCAGCCTCATCTGTTCACATTCTTGTTTCCTTTGTGGTGAAGAAGCTTTTTACTTTGATACCGTCTCATTTATTGATTCTTGATTTTACTTCTTGGCTTGAACAATCTTCTTGAGGAAGCTGGTTCTTAAATTGACAGGGTGGAAAGTTGGGATTAATTTTTCTTCTAGTAGGCACAGAGTCTCTAGTCTAATGCCTAGGTCCTTGATCCACTTTGAATTGAGTCTTGTACAGGGTGAGAGATAGAGGATCGATTTATTCTAGTAACAAAGCTTGTGCTTAGCATACACAAGAACCTGGGTTCAATACCCAGAACCATGTTTTTTTAATATTTATTTTTTTAGTTGTAGTTGGACACATACTTTTATTTTTCTTAATTTTTTGTGGTGCTGAGGATGGAACCCAAGGCCTTGCACATGCTAGGTGAGTACTCTACCACTGAACCACAACCCCAGCCCCAAGAACCTTTAAAAAAAAAAAAAGAATTATTTTTATTTTGTTGCTAGTAATTGCTGTACACACTGGCTCAGAAAAGTCTAGTTTTAGGCTATTTTGATTTGGGGGATTGAAGAGTTAATGTCCCATTTCAAGATAAGGCTGGAAGGCAATGGAATGTGATTAATGACACTGAGCAACAGCCAGTAAGAACATTTTGGAAGATATCAGTGTACTTGAAAAAAGGTGTCTGGCCTGCCTAGACCTGAACTAGATAACTTTTCTGAAAACACAACCCAAAAATTTAAGTGAGCTAAATATACTTGGAAAAAATAATCCCTCTGAAGGAAGAGTCTGCTTAATATATTTTTAAATTACAGTAAATTCTCAATATTTTAATACATCTTGGTATTTTAATAGAACAATATATTGTATATGAAACCCTTACAAACTATAGGAAAGCTGACCTGAGAAAAATCTGTGTCCTATAGTCTGTAATACATCCACAAACTGAAGGTGAAAATACTGATAGGTCACCACACACACGTTTATTCCTAGCTGAATACAGGAAAGCTATTACGATCACACAGTAGCTCATCAATTCTAAGAGGAGGATAGGTTCGGCTGTTCTGAACTATGTCAGCTCTTTGCGTAAATACTTACATTTTCAAAATTCAAAGCAATTGGCACAACAAAATCTGATGCCATGTAAAGGGCCAATTGTGTACAGTTATTTGTCCAAAGGGAGAAGTTGCTATCAAATCAGCTTGTCCTTGAGGCTGCAACCTTGGTTTAGTCCTACTCTGTTCTCTTTGGTCCCTCTTCCACCCAACCAGATACATTAAATAGCAGGATGCTTCTAAGTACTGTACAGCTTGAAAGATAACACTGTACAAACTAGTCCCGAGGGATAGATAAGAGTCCCTTCCAAATTCAGAAGCACCATAAATCTCTCCCAGTCTTCCGAGACAGCTATTGACTCTGAAGCAAAATGGAAGATTCAGACCTGCAAAGGGGCTTTTAACTAATCTAGGAAATCTCTTTGAGAGTTGGGGCTGACGGGGGGTGGGGGGTGGGGGGGGTGGTTGCATTTAGTTTTGGCCATTTTTCCTCCTTCAAGCGCTGTGGATTTGTACCAACAGATAGTGAATTTAAGTTCAGAAAAGGTTAAGTCCACATTTGAAAAGCAGTATTTTCTTCAGTCATAAGGTATCTGGATGAGTAAACTTCGGTCAATAATTCTCTACTCTTCTCTTAAGGTGGCAGGTAAGTTTGTTCAAACCACTAGGAGCCATAAATTGTGCTTGGGATAACAGGGTGGAGGCAGTTTTACCTCAGGGCAGACACTAGATGTCCAGCACAGGAGAAGAAATGACTGCCCCCACCCAGGAGGCAAGACCTTCTTACTGAACTGAAGCATGACTTCCCCATGACCAATTTGGATAATGAGGCTGGAGTTTTTTGGTTTTGTTTGTTTGTTTTTAAACCAAATTCTAACATTCACTGTCATTAGAAACAAAACAAAAACAACTTCATGGATGCCCACTGTATATGTTAAGCAGCAAGCTGGGTGCCTACAAGTGATTTTTTTCAAATGCATTCTTTGAAAGAACTATGTCCTTATAAATATTCTGACTATGAGATAACATGCTTCTTGACTTTAAAAATTTATTCTTAACAAATGCATGGTTTTTATATGACACAAGATCCAAATCTGTTATTTTACACTTTGGAATACAGTTGTTTGCTCAAAGGAAGCTGAATTCCATGGGCAGTGTATTAGAAATGATCTTCAGGTCGATGCCATGTGCTTTGGGTGGGTTACAGTAGGGGACAGGTGGGCCATGCTTATTTCTTTGATAATTGCCCACAATAAGCGTGGCATCCGGAAGGTAGCTCCATAAATATTGTTGATCGACAGCCAGAATTCATTCCATGCTTCAGTCTGCCCACACTGTCTCTCCAGAAGATACTCTACTCTATAAATACGTGTTTTCTTCTTTACAGAAGTGATAAATCTGAAATGGAGCCTACTCCTGTGAGAAACTCGAGCAGGAAAGAGGAAAGCGGAACAAGCAACTTGAAGTGTATGCACGTAGGTGTCAGGAACTGGCCTGCTGATCTGAGTCTCTGCCAAGGAAGATAGGTGCAGGGCGTCAGCCTATCTGCCTAAGTGAACGGTGGGAAAACTGCATCAGGAAGTCATTCTTCCTACCAGCCCCTTTGGCTTGTGCCTCCCCCAACAGCCAGATGAAAGAGGAGTAGCTGGCTCCTTATCACCATCTAGCAGCTGTAAAGGTGACACTGGGCTCTGCCTGCCTGGCTGGCTTTGAGATTAAACAGAACATAACTTCAGGGTCCCAAAACTACTTTGGCTTGAGAGCAAAGGTAATAACTTCTCAGACTAAACAGATAAACCCCCTTGAACAAAGGCTGGTGATCTTGAGAAAATAAAGGAAATGAAACCTAGACTATTAGATGTGTGCTACTTCTCATTTCTTCTCTGACCTTTTTCTGATTCCAATTTATCTTTTTTAAAAAAATATTTATTCTTAAGTTTTAGGTGGACACTGTCCATTTATCTTCTGAAGACAAAAGAAATGTCTGGTTTTGAAAAATAAATGCCAAAAAGTGTCAGTTGTAAAACAAATAGACAAAAGAACTGGACAAGGTAAAATAACTTTAGAGACGGTTGAAGTACCATGATTCTTTTTTCTGAAATGGTCGAAGTGTGATTGTAGGAAGAAGTTTTAAGAGCATGTATGGAACTTCACCTTATTCTCCATGGCCATGATGCAAATAGAAGCTGCTCCATCAACACACAGAGGTAGACAATGAGCAGAGCTGTGGCTGACCCACAATGCACAAGAAATGTGAGTGAGGAATTAGTGTTTGCTGTGGAAAGGCACTGAGACTCTGTGTCACACTATATAATTACTGTCTTGATTGATATTGAATGTTTTGTATAGGGCACTTGAGAAAGCTTCGATGGAGGGATGGATGATGGGAAGCATTTAAAAATCTCAGTGTTGAAAATTTGTAGGAATTAAGTATAAACCAAATATTTCTTTTACAGGGTGTAAAGACAAGTAGCTTTTAGATTAAATGTCAGCTTAAGTGACAAAATTAAGGTCTTATCAATTATTTAAAGATTTGGATTATGCAGTTTGATAGTAACTTAATTAGTGATTCAAATGTCTAGTCCAACATTCAGGACAAGATCTGCCGTCTTTAGTTCAAGTTGCTCCAGACGTGAGCTGACAGAGCAACTGTAGCCAAAGACATCACTAAATGACTGACTACCAAACATGACCTCACTTTTGTCCTCATGGATATCCTTACCATGAGGTAGTTCTAGAGACTGGATGAAATTTAAAAACCTAGTAACCCAAACAAGTTCCTAAGTTTGCCTAAACCTAAGAATTCCACCTTATGGACTGAACCACGGAAGCACTAAACATTTCTTTATTGAACATGGGTCGGGGTGTGGTTCGAGGCTGATGCTGGGTTGGGGAGGTGACACTGGTATGACAGCTGCAGAGAGGTCCCTGCTAATCCCTAACATTGAAGTCTTTCTTAAGCTCTTATGCCAGATGGGGCTTGTCTGGGCAGGCAACTGGCATCCACTCAGGTGCTGAACATGTGCATCAGTTGGCATTGCCTATAGATGTTGGCACACAGAGGATCAGAAGTAGGTCACCATTTTCCACCTGGACTCAGCAGCTGTGTTCTCTATTTTCTCTTCCGTTCCACACGAGTCTTTAGTTAGGTCAGGTGCCACTTGATATTTCCTCTCCCACTGTTTTCTACTGTTAGACATCAAGGGAAATATATAAATTTGTTCCTAAGGTCATGGACATATTGGTGACTTAACCTATACCAGAAGCAGGTATTAACTGCGCCAATGCAAAGATCAAGCAGGAACAGTGAACTGAGAACCCACCATCAATCAAGTCTTTCCCTAGAGGATGTGCTACAGGACTGACTGGCCTTGGACTAAGCACCGAGAGAAAAAAATAGGAATCCTAAATTCTAACCCAAGGACTTTTTATAGTTTAATCAATAAGAAAAAAATTTGAGAGAGGTAATGAGATTATTTCATTCCTCAACTAGCACAATTAAGAAGCGAACAGCATGTGATGTGCAAGCCATCCCAGGCTCCACTCCACGAAACTTTCACGGGAGGCGAGAAAAGGAAGCGTGTAGGATGCCAGAGGGACTAAAGCAGCAAAGACTAATTCCACCCTTGTGTATCTAGTAACAGTTTCAATTAAAATGCAATAAAAGAAAATGATACTATAATTCATTGCTTTGAAAGAACATTTTAAAAAATATTTTTTAGTTCTAGATGGACACAATATCTTTAATTATTTTTTTTATGTGGTGCTAAGGATGGAACCCAGTGCCTCATGCATGCGAGGCAAAGCAAGTGCTCAACCAATGAGCTACAACCCCTGCCCCTCAAAGAACATTATTTAAGCATAATGAAGCACCCCAACAGGCTGCATCAGGTAAAGAGACAACAAGGAGTACGAGGAAAAGTACATGTTAGGGCTGTATTATGTTTTAGATGAAAGATGTCCCCTCAAAATCTCACGGATAAGACAATGCAAGAAAGTTTAGAGGAGAAATGATTGGGTTATGAGAGTCTTAATCCAATCAGTGGTGTAATCCCCTGATAGAGATTAACTGAGTGGTAACTGAAGAGGTTAGATGTGGCTGGAGTAGGCTAGGATTGGGGCATGGCTTTGGGTATATATTCGTATCTGTCCAGTGGAGTATCTCTGCTCTCTGATCACCATGTGAGCTGCTTCCCTCCACCACACTCTCCTGCCATGATGTTCAGCCTCACCTCGAGCCCTGAGGAATGGAGCTGATCTTCTATGGACTGAGACCTCTGAAAACATAAGCCCCCAAATAAACTCTTTCTCCTCTGCAGTTGTTCTGGTCAGGTCCTTTAGTCACAGCAGTGAAAAAGCTGACTAAAAAGGGCTGTATAAAAAGTAAACCATAAAATCAAACATGCACAATTTTGTACTAAGTAAAGGCTGTATTTGTATAGAATTAACCACACTCAGAATATTTAAACACAAACAGTAGAAATTTGAGGAGATAGGCTATGATTGTTATTTTTAAAAATATATAAATAAAATAAAATTTAAAAAAAGACTGTTCCACTAAATTCCACAGCCTCATTTTTCACACCAAAACCTCTAAGTCCTGCAGTTCTCAACATCAGGCAATCCCCCTCCCAGGAGGCACACAGAAACCTGTGGGCGGTATTGGGGAGTCATGTCTGAGCGCCTTTCTGACATTTAATGGACAAGGGCCAAGGACGCAACTACCCTGTGACACACAGGACAGCTCCTCACAAGGGGGTGGGGGGGGTGGGGGTCTGTCCTACTAAAGCACCAGCAGCACTACTGCTGAGAAACTGCCACTAGGATTAGGACAGGGACCCACCTTTCCAGGACTTTCAAGTGCTACCCAAGACACACTTTAAACACCCTAAAATTCAACCAAATACCATTAATTTAATACCATTATGGTCTTAAAATACTGTAATTCTTAATTTAAAAAAACCTGAAAAACTTTGTAATTGCTACCAGCATCCTAGCCCAGGGACCCTGCACTGGCTGGATTTGTCTGCTGGCCCACACAAGAAACATGCCAAACAGAAAGAGGAAAAATGAACTTCAGGCAGTTTGATCAAACATCCCACAAAAGCAGTCACAGTTTATAGGAGTAAACAAGCCAAGCGATCTACATATGTCGATTTGGTTAGGCTGTGTTAATCAGAAAGCCGGCCTTCATTCCCTTGGCATCGGTCCTCAGCAAGAGGAAGTTTTTATTCTCAGTGTGAGGAAGTTCTGAAGTTAAAACAATTTGGAGCTTTTTATTTCAAAGCGGGTCTGTTTCATAATCTCTCCTCAAATATGAAAATGAGGAAAAGATTTTACATAAATTGGGAAAACCACCTCATTTCCTAAGAGGTGGGGTTGCTTTCAGGCTAGAGGTGATAAGTGAGCAGACACCCAGGCTCTAAGAATTATCAACACAGCTGGTTCCTGAAAGATCCCAGTAGCTCTTGCTCTGGTCTCCAAGTTCAAAGAGAAAGGAATAAAGAAAGTGGCCAGAAACCCCGCAGCTGCTGGCATGACCATGAGCACTGCTGACAGTCACTTCCTGTGGAGAGAGACCCTCAGGTCCTCTAGAGAGGCCTGCAGCTGCTGGGTGGCACCTTCTCCCTGGCCGACTTAAGGGGAGGAGGAGATAGAATACCCCTTCCTGGGGGGTGTAGAGATGGAATTCTGTGTGCTGCATTTGATGGTTTTCTTCCTTTTAGTTTTGTATTTAAGAGTCAAGATCACATGCAGCTTCCCAAAAGGCTGTCGATGCTGCCATCTAGTGAGTACTGCCCTCTTTACAACTTAAGGGCTCATGGGGCTATATCCTAAAGAGTTTGGGAAGCCTGAGCACCCGATTTTTAATTTCTTTTGAAGTAATGCGTCCTGTAGATTGATATGAGAAATAAAGTAATAAAGTTTGCAATCTATGGATTATTCTACTTAGGAATTAGCAAAACTTCAAAAATGAGCACATTGGAGTGTACCAGCAAGGTTCATTTCTCCAAAGGACTGAAGCTCTGCTGCCTCCAGCAGTGACTACACAGCCACACTCCCCGTCAGTATGCTGTTGCAGCAGGGCCCGCTTGTCGCTGTATGCTGAGAGCTTGTGCTTTTCCTGGTTAGTAGCCTATATCTGGTCACAATTCCTCATTTGCCTTGGCTTTGAAGGAGCATGGAATTGAATGAGTAACCTCTTCCTGAATGTTTCCAAGCCCTCCCCCAATACCCACTATCTCCATCTTTGCCCCACACTCCTCCTTTGTACTACTTTCCCTCTGTCCTAGTATCTTTGTCTGATTTTAAATGTTTGTGTTTTTTTGTTTGTTTTAACTGAAACAAGATTGGGTGTACCCAAATAAGACATTAATGATATTTGCTGCATAGATGACGCTCCTTTTGGGATCTTGATCATGGATATGGATGTAGTTATGCAAGGCAATGGTGATCCCTGTCTCATTTGACTCTGAGGATTTGTCTCTACTTGCAAACTCTCCATTAAAAGGGCTGTTGATGATCTAAACTTGGGCTCAAACCAGTGCCTCCATCAAAGAACTCATTTATAACTGCTGTCGTCTTTTCTCCTTCCAATGTGGCCTCCTAAGATGTGGGGCTTAAATTTCTCCTGCTTCTTCAACTGACGAGATAGTTTCTTTACTCCTCATCCCACAAACCCACTCTGTCTCTTTATTTCTACACTCTGTCATTCCTAGGTAGCTGACCAATGTATTACAATTTACAAAGCTTTTTTATATTACTTTTTTTCTATCTCAATATAAAGGCTCGTCTGAAGGCAGAACATAAACTTATGAGCAATAGGCATGGACAGAACAATACAGAAACCCTGA